TTTTGAACCTAAAAATCATTTGATTGGGGTTCAGACCGGATGGTCGGATCATTCCTCTCAGGATCTGGTGATCAAAGCAGTTTTATTTCTGGGTCTGTTTTAAAACCATATATTGAAGTTACAAAAAATTTGTGGGTGGGTAAGAACAGTTTTTGCTGAAGTAGTATCTCTTCATATAATCTTTTGCTTTTAAGTTTGTGCTGTAGAAAACCAAATCGAACCAAAAAAATTTACAAGCACTTAGTAAGAATTGTTTTAAAAATAAATAATAATAATAATAATAATAATAATAATAATAATAATAATAATAATAATCAAAGCCTTGTCCCAACTATATAGGGTTGACTACATAATCCTACTTCGTCATCCCTGCCATATTCATTGTTAAATTATAAACAGTTAAATCATTTTTACTACAAATAAAATATTTTGAAACCAAAATACTTTTAACACCCAAAACACAAAGCTTGAAATTTGAGCTTTGTACTTTTGGGCTTTAAAAGCACAAATCCTGAAGATTATCAAAGAGTAAGTTACATACTATCAGTATTTCCCTTAGCCTAATTTTGTTTAATCAAAGCTAGCTATTTTATGTATGGAAAACCAAGCATACTTTTTTACTTTTGTATAGTAGTGAAGTTTTTTATTTGCAATGAACCAAACAACACCTTAAATGTAGTCCAACACAAGAAACATAAATATGACAACTCAATTAAACCCCTGTTTGATATCACTTATTCTAAGTACTTATTCACACAATAAGTGGGCTGCTTATTTTGGTATCCTTTTTCATGTTCGGCAAAAAAGAAGCAAATAAGTGCTTATTTTCTAAATAAGTACTTAAAAAAGAACAACTCAGGGCTACTTATTTTAAGCACTTGCGCCAATTTTTGTGGCAAAACTGTCCCCATCGTTTTTTTAAAATCCCATCAAGCATCTATTTTGGTTGAGCTCCAACATGAATCAGTGGTGGCAACAGGCAACTCCGAGATGAGAAATCGTTCTAGGTACTTTAATCTCATCTCTTTTTTCATTTTTACTCCATTTTGGGCAACTCTTCATGGTTATAATTATCATTTCCGCAAATATAAGTACTTATTGGCTAAGCGGCTCATATATATATAATTGATGTCGTTGGTTTGATTTGATAGGGAAAGGACATGGTTTTCCTACCTCTCCCTTTCTTTCCCTATCTTTTCCATCAAACCAAACACAGCATAAAGGGAAAAGGTATCTCAAGTGTAATTGATGTCATTGGATTGCTTTGATGCACTTGTTAGAGAGTCAAACAGTGTAGTATTTCACTCACTAGATTTCATTACCCATTGTCTGAATTTTTTAGTTGATGTTTAAATTTTTGGGTCATTTACTAAAACACCTCTGTAGTTTCACAAATTTACTAGAGCATACCCTATACTTTGGGTTTTACTAAAACACTTCTATAGTTTGCAACCAATTTACTTAAGCGACCTTCTATTAAGAATCCTTTGTTTTTCTTTTTCTTTTTTTTTCTGAAAATGGTAACTTGACCATATAAACATAGTCGAAAATGTTTACAGGCATGACCCGTGTTTTTTATTCCAAAATTACCCCTAAAACTTTATATCAGGCTTCTAGTAAAAAAATAAGGTTTGATTTTTAGATCTATCAAAAAATGTTTGGCTTTAGTAGAATGAAGAAGAGAGAACAATGGCATCCAAGGTTCTTCCTCAACAATGGTTTGTCTTCCATCTTCAAACAGAGAACATTTCACCAAATAGAATTGTTTCCCATGTTTTACTAGGGACAAGAGTGACATTCTTCACTTCCATTTAATGGAAAATGTTGATTAAGTAAATCCATTGCAAACTAGTGTTTTAGTAAGACAAAACTATAGAGTAGGTTTTAATAAATCTATGAAACTAAAAGGGGTGTTTTTAGTAAATGATCCTTAATTTTTTAATGGATTTATTTTATTCTACAAACAAAAAAGTTTCCTAGATTAGACAAGTTGGAGGGAGGAGGGGAAAATATGGGATTGTGTGGGCCTCAATGGGACCTGTGTCATAATTGGAGAGAGAGAGAGAGAGAGATACAGAGTGGAGGACTTGGTGTGTTTGAGGAGAGAGATTTCCCTTTGTCATGTTATATGATGACAACTTATTCAATTAATACCAATTAATTAATTTATAATTTCATTTTTTATGATTTTTACTTTTTTTTTTTCAAATAGCATTTTATCTGTCTATTTATAGAAATGGGATTTTAGGATAATCTAAAGAGGAAGAAATGATTATTTTTAAGAAAATTATTGAAGCTATTAGTTATATTTTTCTATATTTTAAGAAAATTAACGTTAATTTCTTTTCTATTCGTTCTTTCATTTAATAATCTCCATGGTTTAGACTTCAATGCTACAGGCCCATTTTGATGAATTTGAGTTAGGTAAAAGGTTTGGTCATGTAGGAGCCAGGAGGTTGTGTAACCAATGGTAATGACTCATGCCAGTGATAAAGTACATGGGGCCCATAATAAGGGGTTGAATGGTTGTGATTCTCATGTATTTTATGATTAGAGTGGAGCATTATTATTAATTGTACAATTAACCTGCTAAACAGCTACTGTGTCCAACTAAGCCTATCTTCATTTTGGTTGAACACATAGATCAAAATGGAGACCTGATCTTGGTGTTGGCAAAGAGAGATAGAGGTTGTATGGGTTTTGTTTTTATTTTTTAAACATTGAAAACTTTTTAATCTTGCAACCCCTGAATAAAATTATTTATTTGAAAAGTATATATCGTTTGCCCCTACAACTACAACGCAAAAGCCCTCATCAGCCCTAAAAGCAAAATCAGTCTATGAGTCCCTTTCTAAACTCGTCGTTCATGGATTTAATTATGGCCTAAAAGAAATCTGCCACCTAAGCCCCTGTCAATTTCTAAATTTGAAAATTACAATTTCCAACCGCGAAACTCCACTACAACTCTACAAGGCTAGGTATTGCAATAGATTGGACCCCGCCGGCAACTGAACCGGTAAACCGGTGGTGACCATCTGGATATTTTTTTTTTTTTTTTTTATTTTATAGTGTTTATGGACCATACAACCTTATTGACGGTTAAACCAGCAAAACCATGACCCAATGAGCTTTTCGGCTTTTTCTCCGGCCCAAGCCTGACAACATTGGGGTACAGGACCGTGAACCGATATTACCTCGAGACAGGATCTGCTCCTCACACTCGAGCAGAAAATTAGTTCACAACACAGCAGGATCTATTACCTCACCTGCTAAGTTTGAATCCCACCCACTATTTAATGCACAATCTGGATTGGCCACATGAGTTCACAACACAGCAGAAAATTAGGTGCAATTGTGTAGGAACCTACGTGCACAAGGGGAGGGGAAGTGGGGGTTTGTTCCCCAGGGCTGTGTTTGGTTTATTAGATTTTGGAAAATAAGAGTGATACAAAAGAGTTTGGATCAGCAGATTAGAATATCCTGGCCATCACAGCCGTACATTGAGAATATCTTCCCATGAATGGCAAAGACAAAGTACAAAATGTTTCTGATATGCAATTATAGGGAGGTCAGTACTCGGTAGATCCAGACTTAAACATTTGTTCGTGGTGTAAAATTCTGAACCGTTGAGATGCCAAAGTACAAAATCGATGTCGTTTACATCGATTTACAATGTAAAGCTCATCTCCATTCAGATGCCAACAAAATCAAACCAGCAGTGATTTTACACTGCATCCAAATGCTGACTAAAACGAACCGATAATAATGTTTTACACCACAACGAAACGCAGCCTAAGAAATTCAGGCCCCGTTTGGTTCGCTGGAATAGGGGTCTGGAATCGGAATCGGAATGAGCTATTCCAATTCCAACTGTTTGGTTGGATGAAATCAAAATCCCATTCCCATTCTTGCTGGAATGGCCTGCCCCTCCCTTGGGAATGAAATCTCATTCCTGCTGATTTTAATTCCCAATCCCATTCCTGTTTGAACCAAACAGACTATGGAAATGGACCATTCCGATTCTGATTCCAGAATATTTTGATTTTGATTCTGATTCTAATTCAAATTACAAATCAAATGGACCATAATTTCCCAAAATTCAAAAGAGTTCCCATTAACTTTCTGTTTTTCTCTTATTTTCTATCAAACCAAATACAGCCTAACAAACCATAAGGGCCCATTTGGTTCATGATCGGAATCGGAATCACAATCAGAATGCTCTATTCCCCCTACTTGTTTGGTTCAAACAGGAATTGGAATCGGATTCAGATTTATGCTGTTTGGTTCATTAAGAGGCAGGAATCGGAATCAGCCATGATTTCCAATTTTGCCCCTAATAAAAAATAAAAATGCAGAAAATGCATGGACATACCAAAAAATTTGCAAAAATTGCAGAAATTTTGCAGGAAAATGCAGAAATTACAACAATTTTGCAGAAAATTCAGAAAAATGCATGGAAATGCTGTAATTTTTACAAAAATTATAGAAAATTACAGAAATTTTGAAGAAAAATACAAAAATTACAAATTTGCAGAATGCTTTCAAGAAAATGTAGAAATTACAACAAATTTTCAGAAAAATCAGAAAAATGCATGAAAATACCTAAAATTTTGTAGAAATGGCAGAAAATTGCAGAATTTTACAAAAAAATAAATAAATAAATAATTTTTGCAGGAAAATGCAGAAATTTCAACAATTTTGTAGAAAAATCAGAAATGCATGAAAATATCAGAAATGTTGTAGAAATTTCAAAAAATTATAGAATTTTGCAAGAAAATGCAAAAATTACAAAAATTTTGTAGAAATTTCAGAAAAATGCATGAAAATACTAGAAATTTTGCAGAAAACTACAGAAATTTTATTAAAAAATAAAAATACAGAAATTTTGTAGGAAAATGAAGAAGTTACAACAATTTTGCAGAAAACCGAGTTATTTCTTCATGGTCTAGACTCTTGGTTTGCAAAGACTAGGATACTAGAATTTATTTTTCTCTGGGGTGGAACATGAACGACATGTGACAATTTACCACTGGAACGAGTAAAAATTTACATAGATACCCCAAGTGTATTCTCTTCAAGAAGCTAATGTCATGCTTGGGCAAGTGTCAACACTGCAAGCCATAATGTCCCTATAATCTCGTGAGATTCTAAAGGAGTCATAGACCTTCCCATCACTGCTCTTCTTGTACTCAAACAACAGATTTGCATGGCCAAATGTTGTAAGCTTTATGAATCCAAAGTCCTGGTCCTTGTAATAACTCCATCTAGTATGTATTGTTGTGAATTCTGCAAGGCTAGCACCTCCTCCCCCAACAACTACATGGATGGTTCCATTCAAGGGATCTTGATAGTATGACTTTCTTTATTGGTACAAATATTCTGTAACAGAAGCATTACACCCATTGTTAGTTTATGAGGTGAAGAATCTGGATGAACTAACAAGCATGTTTGCTACCATTTGAAACATTTCAATTTAATATAGAAGAGGTTGAATGCTCATTTCTACAAGATATGATAATCTACACTAATAACAAATCAATTAATAGACAGTTAACCATTATATGTAAAAGGTATTACAGATTGGATGTTGGTCAGCATCCTTGAGAGGATAATGGTAACAACAATCCATCCCTAAAATACCTTGGAAATTTCAATTCTAGAATAGGGGTTTGACACATGGACTAGAAAGATTTAACAGGGAAATTTTTAAAGCTTACAATGTAAGTCTGAAATTTGTGAAGAACCAAAGAATCAGTGAGCAAAGCGGATTGTCGTTTTACAATTTTTAAAGCTTCAGTGTTCCACTCATCTCCCTCACACCTATTGGGGCTACTCCTAGATCCCCACAAATATGTACCAAACTGTTATATAAAAATTATATAACTTAAATTAATTGTTAGAACATTAACCTAACAAGATTTTGAGACTATTTCTTGAAAGTTTGGCTAGAACACAGGCATAATGATAACACATACAAATGTATATGCAAAAGGAAAAAGCTACTTACACTGAATTGGGCCACAGGTCCTTTAGAAAACTTGTGTATGCCACCCCACTGTCCTTGCTGGTGCACCTGTATTTATCAAAATGTATTATATACAATAAAAAATCAAAGTTCTCTGAATATATTTGCTTTCCAGAAAGAGAGAAACATAAAATAGCCATTGTGAGCAGAAGATCCAGACTGCCTAAACTCAACCATTGTTCTATGATAGATGGTTTGGGTAGGCAAGGTAAGGTTGATGATGCTTACAGATTGTTTGAGAGAATGGTTACCGGCTTCTAGAGGAAATGAAGACAAAGGGTTACCAACCCATAGTGGTTACATATGGATCAGTCATTCATTAGCTTTCCAAGATTGATAGGCTTGATGAAGCATGCATGCTCTTTGAAGAAGCAAAATCAAGAGTAGGCATATATGTATTAAGGTATAGCAGTCTTATTGATGGTTTTGGAAAGGTTGGTAGAATAGATGAGGTATATCTTATCATGGAAGAGTTGATCCACAAGGGGTTGGCACCTAATGTGTACACATGGAACTGCATTCTTGATGCGCTAGTGAAGACAGAGGAAATTAATGAAGCCCTTGTCTACTATCAGTCCATGAAAGACCTTAAATGCACCCAAAATGCAATCACCTAAAACATTATCATAAATGTGTGCACAGAAAGCCAAACCACAATTGCTTTTTAACTGATATGTCATCTGTGTCAAATAAAATTACAGATATTATGAATACTTTTACTTTAGGTGTGTCAAATACACATCCAAGAACAAGCTTTTGCTTTTTAGGTACTTGTGGATGTAAAGAGAAAATTGATAAAATTAGAAAAAGGTAGCTGGTTAGCTACTGCAGTACTTTTTTTTCCAAGTTACAAGTTGTCTTTTAAAAGAACTTTAGGTGTTTAGGAATGAATAGGGAGTTCTATTTTTATCTGTTTTAGTTTATTAAAAGTTCTATAGGTTGTCAAGTGGGTGTTGATTTGTTTCTGTTTTTCTATTTTATCTAAATACCTTAGGTATATTATGAATAATTTTCATTTGTTTGCAGTCAATTATTGGGCTGACTGCTAGATATATCTTAGAATTTGGCTTGTCTTGAATCAATCAGTATACCTAAATACCTTAGAATTAAAAATTGTTTGCAGCTCAATATGTAAGATTATTGAGCTAGCTTGTCTTGAATTTCAAGAAATAAAAGGGTAAGATAATGGCAAATTCTGTTGGTCAGCAAGACAACAAGACATTGGAGTGGAACTCATCCCACGAAACGAAAAAAGAAAAGAGAAATGTGTGGACTAATTTGAGCCGCATCTCAGCTGCTACTGTTAAATATGAATAAACATCACACCAAACCTGTTAACCAATCCAGATAGAAATCGGGATAAAGTGGTCGCTTGCTTGTAACTCTAAAACCCCTTAATTAGTTGCCACTATTCATGTTTAATCAGACTGTTATCTAATTTGAAATTAGATTAGAATGTTATTGTCCTCTGATGAACTTGATAGAGATCTTTCAAAACTTATTAGCTACAAAGATAGAGCTGAATCAGGTAAACAATAAAATAAACATAGAAAAATTCAAACACCATACAGAACTAATGACCAAATAACTCTACTCACATAAGGATGGCAAACTAAAATTGGGAAAAAAAATTAACATGCATTTCAGACCTGCTAAATTAACATGCATTTTGAGGTCAAGTATAAACAACTAAATTTAGCATGCATTTCAGACCTTCTACTAAAGATCTATATAACAAATACTTTGCTAGAAAGGAAAATCGAGGACAACATACCTTGCTGTGGTTTGGTCTGGTCTGCAGCGAAAAAAATGGGGAGGAATGAAAAAATAAAGTGAGAGAGAAGGAGAGGAAGAAGAATATGAAAGAGGAGAGAAAAAAAAAATTGATGGTGATTTACCTCATCGTCACTGTTGCCGGAGTTTCAGCTCAGATCAATACTTCAAACTTCAGCTGCCTATAGAGGGAGTGACAAGAGCAAGGGGAATGAGGATTAGAAAGTTGGAATCGGGTAGGGAGAGATTTGAGGGGTTTTTTTTGTCATTTTGATTTTTTCTTATATTAAATAGCGGGGATGGGATTCTGATTCCGGGGGGGATGGGTCGGGAAATGGAAATCGGATTCCGTTTTCACCTAACCAAACGCTGGGAGATTCCGATTCCGGACCTCTATTCCTGCAAACCAAATATACCCTAAATCTCCAACAAAGCTACGAGGCTCAGTTTGGGAAGAATATAAACATAATCGGGAGAAAAGAGTCCGACGTGTTTGTCATACCGGCCTTTATTCATTCGGAAAATTTCGGCCTGAAGAATTTGCCAATTGTCAATAACAAATCAGCCTTTATTTTTAGGCAAATTTTATAAAAATCATTAGTTTTTGAATTGCTAAATTTCGTTTAAGGAAATTACCAATAAATATAGGATGTACCACATGGGATCAGGCAAGTGTACTGAAAATTTTTCAATATGAGTCTTAAAGCATCGATACTTCATAAAAAAAAAGACGGCCAACACCGACCTCAGCATCTCTTGGTTATACATGAAACATCTTCTGTATTTATATTCATTATTCATGGGAGATGTTACTAATACACGGTGAGATGTGACTGTGACGTTGGTATGAGAAGCATATCCCAATTTAAGAAAACAGCATTGCAATGATATGCCCTTTCTTTTATTGTTTCGTTGCATTACTATCACTTAAGCATTTTTCAATTCCATATCAATAAATCATTGGAGATCACATCTCCGCTCCACAACACATCTTTGCCATGTATTGGGAACATTTCCTGACAGATACTATCATCGATAGATGTTTTCAATACATGGCAGGGATGTGCTGTGGGGCATTGTGGGGCAGCTCCTTCTGGAGCAGAGATGTGAACTCAAATCATTGCTAGCAATTGTAGAAAAATGAAAAAATACCTACATTGCTCTTCCCCATTTTCAAGGCATGGTTTGAAAAAATGTTTTTCAGAAAAATGCCTAAGAAAATAGGAGTCATTTTCTCAAACATCAAATCTCTTACATGTTACATAGCACCATTTTTTGGAAAACAACCTTAATTTCAATCAAACACCACCCACCATAAAATGTATACACTAATATTACTATTTAGACATGAAAATGCCCCTACTTTCTGATATATAGCATATTGCTCACTTCAAAAACTAATATATATGATACAACGACCATGGATTAGACCTGGCAAAAAGTTAACCCAACCTGCGAACCTGACCCAACCCAACTCAAAAAAATAGGGTTAGGGTCTCATATTTAGCTATCCCAATGTGAAAATGACCTGACCCGACCCAACCAGAAAAAAAAACTGGGTTGGATTGGGTTGTGTCATGGGTCAACCCACTGACCTAATTGTCAAGTCTAATTGGGATTATTTATGCATTGTTAGAAGTTTTTACTCTTTAATTTTTTCTATTTAGGTGGTGTTCGGTGGTGTGGATTGGCCACGGTATATTTAGTTTCAATCCACACCACTTCTATGCCATGCATTCGATTGGCTGTAGTGTGGATTGATCCACACTATCTTGTGGATTGGTCCACACCACATTCCATTTTATCATCCATGGGTTTATCTCATGGAATCATTTACACCACACCGTTTTGCATTTGGAATAACGATCCCATACTTTGCATGGATGTTTAACCCTAGTATAAGACCTCTTTCTTTTTACCATTGCAACACTTCTTTGTGAGCTCGCTGTTGTTATTCTTCTCTAGGGGTGAGCAAAAAACTCGAAAAACCGAACTGACCAAAACCGAACTAAAGAATCGGTTAACCGAATCGATCAGTTTAGTTTCAGTTTGGTGTTTTTAAAAAACCAAAGGTACCGGTTTGGTTTTTTTTAACCAATATAGAAAACCGGCGGTTAACCGAACCAACCGGTATACATAAATTTCTATATATTTTATATATATTATAAATTAATAAATATGCATTTTTTATATTATATATTTATATATTTTTATAATATATATTATAAAAATTAAAAAATTGAAAAACTGACGAATCGAACCGGTCAACCGATTAACCGATTGGTTTCGGTTCGATTTTGGTTACCGGTTTTCCAAAAATCAATATTACCAAATCGGTCCAAGAAAAAGCCCCATGGTTCGATTAACCAAATCGTGAGCACCCATATTCTTCTCTACTCGTCATTGCTATTCTTCTTTATTTAAACTATGGTTGTAATCGGATCGGACTCAGATCAGATGCAACAAAACCCACATTCAATCCGATTATGGATAACCTACATCTGAATCCAATTAGCTTGGATTTGAATTCAAATCCTAATGGACTCGGATCGGATCCGGATTTAATTTGACTCCGCTATAAATTTTCTAAAATACCAGAAAAATAAAATTTATTTATTTTTCAACCTTTATATATAATAGATTAATATAAATATAACATACTAAATTATTATATATAAATTCATATATAATATAATATATAGAATATATTTTTATAATTTTAAATACAATTATATAAAATTTATATATTAAAATTAATAAATATTATAATTATTGGTTTCATATTTTAATTGGATCGAATGGGGTCAAATCCGAATCCAATCCGATTATTAATCAGATGTAGATTGTAACATCCAAATCCAATCCGATTACATAAATACATCATTTGAATCTAAGAAAATCGGATCGGTTGTTGGATCAGGCCTTGGATTTTCAGGTATTACTGACAAACCTAGTTTGAACTACTCACGACTCCTCCTCCGACCACTGCTGCATCGGATTGTCAATGGTAACTAGTAAGTATTCATCCTTTGTTTATTCTCATGCTATATTACTCTTCTCTATTTGAACCACTCGCCACTGCTACTCATGTTTGTTAATTAATATTGATATTATTTTATTAATTATTAAGTTTTGAATATTATTTTTATTAATATTAATAATTAATATCAATTGTTATTGATATTATTAATTATTATTAAATATTATTAAAATTTTTGTTAATATTACCAATTATCATTAATATTACTACTCATTTTTAATTAATATTAATATCATTATTTGTTATTTAATATTATTAATTATTACTAATATTATTTTTATTAACTATTAAAATCCTTAGCAATTTACTAATATTTTTCTATTGTGTATATTACAAAAAATGATATATTGTTTTTTAATGATTAACGACATAGATTATCTCAAATGTTGTAGTTGAGATGCATGAAATCAAATGCAATGTGCAAACCGAAATATGCCACACCTTGCAGAACGCCCATGGAGGTGTGGTGTGGATTAGTCCACACATTTTTGTCCAAGGTGTAGAACAACTACATTGTTGGAGTGTGGTTTGTTTTCATCCACACTACACCCGTGGTGTGGATGAAAGCACATTACCCAATTTCTCATCTACACTATAGAACACCCCCTTAGTCTTTACATTTTATTGTTTACTCTTTAAATTGTTAAGTGTTCAAGTTTTTTATTTTATATTTGGAATTTTAAGGTTAATTCTTTTAATTTTGACATTTTCATGTAATTTTTCTTTTTTTTTAATTTCAATTATTTTTTGGGATGACCCGAATTGACTCGTGGGTCAACCCTAACCCGAACATTTAGGGTTTGGGTAGCATTTGACAACCCAACCCGAAATTCAACCCGAAGTACCTTGACCCAAGTTGATCCCAACCCAATTACCAGGGACTTTATGTGATTCACAGACTTTGTTAAACAAAATTCAAGTTAAAAGACCCTTAAAATATTTTCAATTAGGCAAAGACAAATTGATTTCAACCCAAACACTATTTTTGGATTATATATTATTAATAATTTGTATTAATTCTTCTATTTGAGTATAACACATGGTTTTGAAAACCATACTGGATCGGACAGTCAGACCGGTTGACCCGAGAGCTGTCCATTCTACCAACTATATTTCACCCTAAAGCCATTGACTTAGCGATCTATTGACTCAGGCGATCAAACTATCAACCTGTCGACACAAACAACAGTTATTGGCTATTTTATTTTAATTATTACTTTTTTATTTTTAAATTAGAATAGGCCATATTGTTTGAATTGGACGATCGGACCACTTGACCTAGTAACTGGTGGCCAAAACAGTTCTGTGTCCAGACTGGTTTTTAAAACCTTGGTATAACATATTGCGATATTTTGAACTTTGATCTAGATCGATAATATGATCTCTTGATAAATAGGTGGAGACTAGAGTCATGTAGAGAAGCTCCCCCACTTGACCCGATTAAGAAACTTTCTTTCAAGAAAACCCATCAAAGTTGCATTTTCAATTAGACCTCAAATCTTGGTTTTAAGCACTTTGTGAGAGCTGATTGAGTACAAGATCTTTTGTACATGGGCAAAGGTAGGGGTGAGCATGGGTCGGTTTGATTCTGTTCAATTCCATGGCAAAACCTAGAACCTACCTAGTAGGGGTCAGTTCCATGTCTTTGGAACCAGAACCTACCCTGTGAAGGTCGGTTCTAGCCTTGGCAATTCCTAGGTTGGTTCTAGGGTCTACCCATGGAACCTGGTCTTTCTTTACTCTCCCCCTTCAAGAAAAAAAAAACAATGAAACATGTCCTTTAAAAATTTGATTTTCAATAATGGTATTATATAGTTTAAAACTTATATTATCTTTATTTACTAAATTGAGTAATTTAATATATAGATTATCATAATATATTAATATATGGTTGAAAATTTGTTATTATAATTTAAATTTTGTAAATATTACCTTTTTTCATTATTAATTATACACGTATAAATATTAAAATAAAAATAAATGATCAAATCACTTAAGTAACTCAATGGTCAAGTGAGACCATGGCTTTTATAACCATGAGTGTTTGGGCTCAAATCTCCGTATCCTTAAAAATATTTTGGGGTTTATTTCAAAGCCAGTTCGGTTCCAAGGCTAGTTCCACCAAGGCCGGTTCATTGGGTCAGTTTGGGTAGGGTAAACCTCTAGACCCTAGAACTGACCTAAGCAAGGGTTGGTTCCAAGTTCTAGGAAGAAAACCCTACCTTGTAATAGATTGGGTAGGGTCAATTCAAGGCTGGTTCCATATGAAAGGAATCAAACAGTTCAACCAAAAAAACTATACCTAGGAATATAGAACCAGTGATTCCAAGAAATACACAAGCAATCATAGGAGAAAGTGATGACAAAGAATTTGAATACAATTTACTGGTAGAGACCAGAGTGAAGAGAAAGTGATACAAGGACCCAACCAAGATTACAAGA